TTACCAAATAGAGAACAAAAGTATTTGTAATTTTCATTCCAAAACACTAAAATAAAATAAAAAAGTAATTTATTTTGTATTTTAATTACACAAAATAAATTACCAAATAGAGAAGTTTCGCTATAGACTAGAATAGAATAGAAATTTGAACTTTATTCTGAGACTAAGAACCCTTAGAATAACAATGATGAATTAATACAAAATAAAATACAAATCTGGCCAAAAACTAACTTATAAAAATTTTAACATTATATACATTATTTAAAAAGTAGTATGTAACCATTAAAAAATAAACCAATATATATATATATATATATATATATATATATATATATATATATATATATTATATATATATATATATATATATATATATAAATGAATATAAAATCTTATCAAAATTACTTATTATTGTGATGAAAATAATAAGCTATACTACAGGATAATCGTCCACCAGTAAGTATTTTGTATTTGTATTCTGTTTTTCTTAATTAAAATTTTGGTATATGGAAGTGTATCATTTTTCATAAGAGATCCATGAGTATGGTTTATGTTTCCAATTTTCAGTCTTTTGATGATACATCTTCAAGATGGCCATCGACAGTCGATCGATATCGACTATCGATATCGTATCTTCGATAATTTAATTTTAAAATAAAAATTAAAGATATCGTTATCGGAAAGCGATAGGAAATATATGATCAGTAGAAAAAATTATACTCATCTTGCCTGTTTTCTACATAATGTAGTGCTTAGTAGAGGAATATATCGATATTTCGTTCATATCGACGTTCGATGACCATCGATCGATAGTGGAGTTGTATCGCGCTCGTGGGACTCTTATCACTTAGTAAGCTGAGTTTGCCCAAATCTGTTTGTCAGAAACGTTTTCAAACCAAGACTAAAAATTACCAAAGAAATCTATGTAATATGCAAATAGATTAGCATTCCGCTGAATACGATCTATGAGTGAATGGAAGGCATAATTGGTTGGATGAAAATTTCTAGAAAAAAATTTAATTATGACAAAGATGGACAGGAACATGAAAATTAACTGTACTACTTAGGATAGAAGATATTTCCATTAAATAATTGAAAAAGAAAAAGAAACAAATTTTTGTTGAGGCTATGTGCTCCAGAATCAATTATTCCGTGGTACAGGTCTGACCCAACTTATAACTGGGTTACCCAAGTAAAGATTATTGTGGTGGAACTGGGATGTCAGGGGCTGTTTTCTCCCAAGGTCTAATGAGGTTCAAAGATGAAATCGTGGAAAAAATAAGAAACCATCACGCATCCAAGGACATCGACAGAATGTTAAACTCTAAATCAAACCCAGGATATAGAAAAATCTGCTCCTTTAATATTACCAGACCAGAGGATTATCTTCAGTTCAGGTCTGACGGATCAGTCTGAACGTCTCTGAATTTAAACAAATTAAGTGCCATTAGTCGTCTCAGAGTAGCAAGTAAAGATTTTATGAAAATATATTTAAAAAATACTACTTTGACTATTAAATCTAGTGAGACATGTGGTGCATGCAACTGCCTTGTAACTGACCCGGTAACTCATTTTCTGATCCAATATATCAAGTTCAACGAGCCGAGAAAGAAGTACTTGAAGACATTTATCACTGAATCCAGAGAAGATGCTAGTGTGGAGGAGATACTGAAAATAGACACTATGAAAAAAATAAACCAACTGTATTATTTCGTACAGTTCATTGAACTGTTAACTGGTATAGTTAATCATATAACATATATTAATGCTTAGTTATATTGTCATTTGTCTTATCCCTCTGGAATATTAAAAAAAAATGTATTATTGAAAAAAAAATGTTTTACTAATTGTTATGTATATATATATATATATATATATATATATATATATATATATATATATATCGTTTACTAATCTGTTATTATATTAGTCATACTTAATGCTGTGGACATTGTTAATATTATGTTTGAATGCAGTAATAGACTCAAGATCTAACATTGTTAATAATACCATTATATTTATTTGTACAGGAATTTCCTTAGATAAATAAAATAAACTATACATACAGGCTTATCGAATTATGTTTACATCCGCCTGAAACTATCTATTAAAACTATCAAGTTATCTTACTATTCAAGAAGAAAGCAAATGAGTATTTACGAGTTTTTAGTAGCTAATGAAGTAGACAAAGTTTACCCCCCTCCAGATTAAAAACGTCTCAAATCCACGAGTTTCCATAAATAAAATAGTTGTAGATTATGATGAGATGAAACTATTTACGAAGTTTCAGGTGGATGTTAATAATTCGATATAAAGGGGTCTGTATTACGGACTAAACATTTCTATTGATATTTATATTGACTATCGATATTTCAAGTCAGATATTTTGATGGTATCGATAGTTATAGGTCGATTGTTATATCGATATGGCAATATCTCACATCTACTACATCTCTTCCGACGTTGCAGTAAAAACTCATCTAAGCTTTGATTTATTATTTACTGTTTTTCAATTTATTTTGTTCTTTAGTCATTTCTCAGTGCTGGATTCACGTCATCTGAGATTGACATTTTAGATATTTAGATATGTCTGATGAATTTTGGATATTAATTATATCTATTGATGATGATGAAGAAGACGTTTGGTTACTTGGTCTGCTTCTAGATTCCCTTTGATTCCTACGTGTGATGGTACCTAAGCCAATATTGTATCTCGTTGAGGTTTAGAAAAGATTAAATAAAGCTAAACATAAAAATAAATGAAAGTATTTTCTAATGGGAAAATATAAAAATAAAATATAAACGTGACTTATCGCTTGTCATTTCCTCGATCATTATTCTTCAGTAGCTCTAAAACCAGTTATAATTCGTCTTCACTCAACCAGTTATAGACACTACCTCTCTAAAATTCTTCTATATAAAACTGTAAGTTTTAAAGTAAATATATTTTCTTTTAAAACCATTGAATTTTATCGTTATTAATAAAATACGGACTCCGATAATATTATGTACATAGAGATATGCAGTTTTCATAGTTGCTACTGTTGACATTATTTAATATTTAATTGTATTGGTAATATTAAAATTAAAATTTGTATACATACCACGCAAACAAAATGAAAATAACTATAATAAATAGAAATAAACATGCCTTTCTATCCGTGGCACTTTTGACGGATTAAAAATATTTCGTGACAGTTGATTATTTATAATCAGCATGTTTCTTTGTTTCAAACGTAAATAGTAAGATTGGCATCATACAATTGGTCACTTATAAATATTGATAAATTACTAAAGTATAGAGGTGGATAAAAACCACAGTTTTTATAATCAGCTATGATTTTCTTTTCTACCCTTTCTTGCTTTAGGCTACATGGGTGATTTCCCAGGGCAGAGGAGAGGGCGAGGGAATTATCACGCGTTAAAATCCCACTAGACACCGGGATTTGAAATTGTAATTATTTTTTATCTGGAACTTCGGTTATCATTTTGACGTGGTGCTATGCATACGCTTAACCCCCTTGGCCACTCCACCCTCTCAGCTTTGATTATAATATTGAAGATATAATATATAATTATAATCATTATTTTTAACAATTTATTTATTTTTTATAATCACAATGTGTATTTATGATTTTCACTTTATTATAATATGTCCCATTTAATGGAAAATAATTGATTAGAGGATTATAATAATTTATTGTTGTAATTGTGCACAGATACTTTTAGTAGACAGAGTTTCAAATCACCTTATATTTTTACAGAAATTGGGTGAATCATAATTTATTTCGTAACCAATTTGAGTTTTACCAATGGGTAGTTTCTCTTCATGTTGTACATGTCATGTTACCGATTTCACATTTACTTATTGTATTTTCTATGGAATACAGTTGTAAATTCCATTAAAATAATAAAAAATAAATAATTTCGTAACTATATTAATATAGACTTGAAGCTTCAGGTCAAGGAAATCAATTTAAATTACTTTTTTAAATCATATTTACAAATGTATTATATAAATACATCTAGTAAATTTGAACATATGTATATCATGACATGAAAACACTTGCTGAGTAACTACTCAATGGTAGCACTCTAATGATATGCTTACATTAGGAGATCACGCGGCCATCTTCTTTTCAGACGCCTAGGAAGGATATCAGGAATTGAAGAGGAAGCAAGATTAGAAACGAGAGGGTTGGGATGAATCTGAAGTTTATTATGGAAGGATCTGGATTGGGCCAGATCTGAAACAAAAGAAACATTAAGGTCATTATGGATGGTTTTATTTGTAACAATAAGTAGGAAGCATTGAGGATTTTACGAAGGATTTTGGATTTTAAGGATTGGATACGAGAGGAATTCGATGATTTAGTGGAGCCCCATAGCACAACTCCGTAAGTCCAAATAGTCCTTTATATGAGTCTTTTGTAAACCATTGGAAGTTTAGAGCGTTTGTCTAGTAGGTGCCGTCGAGCTGTTTCTTGTCGTTTCAGTCTGGTATGGTTTACTTAAATTAAAAGGTTTTTTAGTTATCCCTTCCTATTCAATAAAAACCATGAGCTACTTTAAAAAACGCAAAACTTAGATTTCCTATGTTTCAGCTGAAAATTGGCTCACTATTTATATAAACTTATTTTAGGTCTTGAGGTATACTATCAGTCCTAAACAAATATTCTTCAACTTACTGGACACTATTTATATATAGGGTATCTCAGTTTGTAATTGCCAAACCCCTGGAGAGGAGGGAGAAGGTTCTAGACTAAATCTCCAACAAAAAAGTTCCTTTAATGTTGGCACCGATTTGGAACGTAAATGGATTTACGTCATATTTTGTTTTTTAAGGTAGTCACAGTTTATATTGAATAAGAAAGAATTTCTCAAAAAAATAATATATATATACTTATATAATAGTAAGAATGTAAACTATACTACTGTAAATAATAAATAGGCTTTTCTTAAATATTTTTTTCTGTATTATTTATTATTTACAGATCGATATGTTTGCTGTTGTATCGGCTGTGGGTGCAATATGCTTTATCTTTGTCATATTATTCATTTATGTGATAAAGCAATACCGGTATTGGAAAAACCTTGGAATACCTGGTCCTGATCCAACCTTCATTTTGGGTAACATGGGCGACCTGTATTACCAGAAGGCCTCAGAACTCCGCATCATAGACAGTTGGTACCAAGAGTTCAATAACGAGCCTTACATCGGCTACTACAATTTGTGGAAGCCGACGCTTCTCGTAATGGATCCTCAACTCATCAAAGAGCTTAACGAAGTCGATTTCGACCACTTCACTGATCATCCTCAGATATGTGGAAATTCAAACCGTGACGCCATCATGCATTCTCTATTCACCATGAAAGGGAACCTATGGAAGTTGAAACGACAAATCTTTTCGACACTCTTCGCACCGAAGAAATTGAAAGAATCCGTCGAAATCATGAATAATTATAGTCCTGCTTTGATAGAAGAGATAGATGTGCATTCGGAATGTTACGAAGAGATCCAAATGGAACAAATTGCGAGGAGACATATGGTGAGAACAATGAGCCATGTCATGTACAGCCTAGACACATCTAGAAACGAACAGATATTCTCGAAGCTGTGCCATCTAGCTGAAGTATTCGAACACCCACCGCCTGCCACATCACGAATGCTCACATTTTTTACGGCTGCGCCTTGCCTGTTCAAGTATCTGGGGTTAAGCTCGTACCCTCGGGAGTTCTGGGACTTCTTTTCCAACTTGACCAAACACTTATTAGAATCGAGGAACGAACTGAAAATTGGCCGCGAAGATTTGGTTTCTCTTGTTGCCCAATTACAAAATGGAGGAAGCACCAAAAGTGACAGTAAGTAAAAACCATTTATTTGTTGTATTACCATATCCTTATCCTATCTAGAAGAAATAATTGTATTATTTTTTTTTATTTAACTGTGTTTAGAAGTGGTTTTTGAGGAAAAGAACACGACTCGAGAATTTTTTTTGTAGTGAAAATTTCTTTACACACTATATTTCTGGAGAGTGAACTAGATCCCAGATGTGTAACGCTCGGTTAAAGTCGGTTAGAGTCGATAGATGGAAGTGTTTTTGTATATGGATTAAAGTATGTCAAAAATTAAAAATTGGACCTACATACTATAAGCAAGGAAATTGTTCAGCATATCATCTTCTGTGTAATAAATTATTATTCAAAATTGTATCTCAACGCGACGCCATGTTAAAGGGGCCAAAAGGGAACAAAATAATGTTGAAAATCAAATTATAATGAGTTTTATTGAAGATATGGATTAAAATATCTTAGAAAATAAAAATCGGACCTGCGTACTTTAAGCGAGGGAAATGTTCAGCATTTCACCGTATATGTAATGATCTTTTATTTATAATTTATATTTCATATTATTAATCTTTCTTATTTGTTTTCTCTCCTATCGAGTAGTCTAAAGCACACACCTTAGTGTTTTCTAAAAGTATTTTCTAAGCAAATCCGGAACAAAGCATTACAAAAAACTTAATTTAATTTTTTTCCTTTAGTCAATGTTGACTTACTTATTTTATAAAAATGTATCGGGCTTTTCAACAATTTGGGTAATTTTTACCCTATATTAAATTATTTAATCCATACCTACATATACTCAAATAACAATAATACGGATGAAAAATATAATTTCACAATTGCTTATTGAATTTAAGAAATTAAAATGTATTTACTGTCAAATAACTAAATTAAATTAAAGTTACAACAGTTAATTAAAGTAAAAGTGTAATTATTGTAAAATTAAAAGTTAAATATTAAATTAAGAAAAAATGTATAGTTTAAAAATAAAAGTCAAAATTACGGAAAGAAATGTTAAAAGTAAAAGTTTAAGGTTACAAGAAATAAAATTAACAAAAACGATTATAAATGCAATTTTAGTTTAATGTTAAATGTTACAATATTAAGAGTTAACAGTCCTTGAATTATGGGTATTGTCAATACAAGATTGACCAATAGGAACATAATTTGGTAATAAGAGGTCTGTCCACGGACTATTAGGTTAATTCATATTGTCAATTCACCTCAATTGTACTTCTTTTTTTTCATTAATTGATCTCCGTGAATCTGTGGGTCATATTTTTAGCTTCTTCATCGCAGGTATTCATTCAAATCTAACAACTCTAAGTTATGCCCTCTTTCAGTTAAGTCGACATCCTCAAGTTCAAGAAAAACTTCGTCATGAAGTAGACAGTATTTTATCAGGGAACGAGTATGTATCCTATGATGATGTGATGAAGATGAAGTATTTAGAAGATGTTATCAATGGTAATGATTAATTTGCCGGCTTCACATTAATTAAAAGTCAATTATAATTGCAAAATGAAAATCAATAAGTTAGTTAATCTCAATTTTAGATATAAGTATTGATAAAAACGCTTGTTAATAATTTTACAGAAAGTTTGAGGATGTACCCTCGAGGAGGAGTCAAGTTCGGGGCAGTGATTATGAGAAGAACATGCACTACCCCATACAAAATTAATGAAAAATTTACTATTCCTAAAGGTATGGATGTCGTTTTCCCAGTATATTCTCTTCATATGGACCCGCGATATTTTCCCGCCCCTGAAGAATTCATACCAGAAAGATTTTCACAGCAGGAAAAACCATCACCAGTTTTTATGCCATTTGGCAAAGGGCCAAGGACATGTATAGGTAAGAAACAATAATACATAGAAACCAGTTGCTATCAGAACATCGCGTTATTGGTCAAACCTTTTAGCCTTATGTCAATTTACAATTCATTTACTCATTTACACTGATGGATCCAAAACAGAGCATTCTCCACTCTATGAAATAATAAAGTCGCGGTCATAGAAATTGCATAACCTATTAAGAATTATAAATACAGATCAGTACTTATGATAGAGATCTAGAAGGAAGAGTAATTATTTAAATAATCTGACATTTTATATAGTCAGATCCGACTTTCCTTTGTTAGCAGAAACACAGAGCTTATTTTAAAGAAATTACCGCTGATATTTCTACTCATCCTGAAACTCTCCTGGCAATATTCGCTGATGACACGGTCATCCTATCTTCCAATTCAAATCCCGAAACAGCATCCTTTAACCTACAAATTCACCTCTCTCTTATGGAACACTGGTGTAATAAGTGGCGCATCCAAGTAAATGAATCTAAATCCAAACATACCACTTTCACGCTTAGGCGCATGTCGTGTCCACCAGTTTATTTCAACTCCATACCACTTCCCCTCTCCGACACAGATCGGTACCTTGGCTTCCTTCTAGATAAAAGACTAACATGGAACCCACATACCAGACTTAAAAGACAAGAACTTAACCGACGATATGGCCAACTATATAGACTACTCAATAAAAAATCTCAACTTTCAGTTGAGAACAAACTATTAATCTACAAAACAATCCTGAAACCTACCTGGACCTATGGACTCGAACTGTGGGGGACAGCAAAACTTCAAATCCTTCTAGTCTAAAGTTCTTCGAACAATAGTCGATGTTCCCTTTTATGTAACCAATAAAACCCTACACAATGACCTTAATATCCCATTCGTACTTGACCTAATCCCAGACAAATTTTCCAAATTTCATCAGAATCTCACTCATCACCCTAATCCTGTAGAACAGTCTCTATCTACCTCCAGTCATCCCTGAAATCCTCCTCAGAGGTTAAAACGGCAGTGGCCCCGCGACCTTTTGTAAAAATGTATATATTGGACTACTGACACTGGCCAGATTCTTCACTCATGTCCTGAGCGTCCGTTGCCCTAGTGCCCTCCACAAGCCTCCACTGGTTTACTACATCAGTGACGCGGCTGGGAGAGAAGCACTGGGGGGGGGGGGGGGGGGGTGCCCTTCAATGTGTCAGACTGTATTAATACTCAATAAAAAAAAACAAAAAAAAAAAAATTAAAGAAGATCTTAATGTATTATTTTTCTTAAAAGTGTATAATTATAAATTGTTTACTACTGTACATAGTTTTAAGTGTCTTTATAGATTATGTGTTATGTAAATTGGTGATTTTTTTGTTTATAGCTTGTTTACCTAATGTTTTCTTTACTTTCCTTTTTTGTTATTGTTTTATATAGGCCAGATGTAGTCTTTTAATTTTCTACTAAATTTTCTATTCTAAAGGGACTTTGTCCTAGAATAAAGTCATTTTCTATTATTATTAAATACGAAAACGAAACCTGTTGTTAATAAAAACTGTATTATTTTCATTCATGATTACGTTATACAGCGAGGCTGATGGTTATAGTCCGTGGTACAGACCCCTATTAATTAAATTCTTAATATCCGCCTGAAACTTCATAAATTGCTTCACCTCAACTAGTCTCTTTACAAAAATTCTCGGAACAGGGGCGTTTTCAATCTGGAGATCAGTATACTTTGTCTATTTAATTAGGTACTAAAAACTAACGAATTTCCATTTGCTTTCCACTTGAATCGTAAGATAATATGATCACAAAGTCAAATAAAATGTGGCCTACAAAAATATTGGTCCGTTTGGCGTTACTTCCACCCCGGAAAAGTTATAAAAAAAAGTTATATAGGTCAAAAGATCCCAAATTTTTGTAGGTAATTTTTTTTTTACGATTCAAGGAGAAATCAAATATGTAATTATGAGTTTTTAGTAGTAGAAAAATAATTATATAATTTTTTACAAATAAAAAGTGAATTTAGGCAATTACGTTTATTAAAATAGATCTCGGATCATAGAAAAACAATCAATTAAAGTTTTTTAACAGTTAATTGTATTCATTTTTTGCTGAAGACACGAGTACTATTAGGTGACTGGATAGAAAATCGCATCATTTCTTTACACAACTTGAAATCAATATCAATATTAGGCATAATAAACCTCAAATAAATGAGTATAGACTTGAAGCTTATTAAACGAGAAAGTTTTTCTAAAAGTGGGGGTATCGGTAGTATAATTGGATAATGATAAAAAAAAAAATCGCAAATAATTTATGATTTTATTGCAAATATAACTTAAGTTCAGCGTTTCAAAAGTTCTCTTTAATTAATTTTGATAATCAATAATATCTTCTTAGCTAATCATATTTCTTCTGTATTCAAGCCATTCACAAACATTGAACATAATGCCTTAGACATTCCTCTGCAACTTAAACTACCACCTCCTTCGTTCACTCCTTCTAAAGTCGCACTTCAAATCAAACATTTACCTATAAGAAAAGCTCCTGGTTATGAATTAATTACATCCGAAGTGCTTCAAAAGATGTCCAAGAAAGGTCTAGTATTTCTGACAACAATTTACAGCTGTATATTGAGGACAGCAAAATTTCCATTACAATGGAAATATTCACTCATTAAAATGATTACCACAAAATTGTTTATATAACTTTTAAAATATCCGAAAATTACTATCACCACACCGTTTGCCATATATTGCCATACCGTTCTGCATTCCTTGGACTTGACATTTAATAACATTTATGTTGCAGGTAAAAGGCTGGCATATGTATCATTGATGGTAGCGTTGGCTCAAATAATTTCCAATTACATAATCCTGCCAAGTCCTGACACAGACTATCCCGTCAAGTTTGACCCAAGAAGCATGATCCGAACATCCAGACCTCTCCAGAAACTTAAAGTCAGGATGCACAAGAGGCGAAAGCCATGTATTTCAACCCAATAAAAACTAATTGTATTCTTATATATGATTTTAAATATATATACTGGATAATGCCTAAAAACACTTATGTGTAACTTATTTTCACAAAACGATATGAAAAAGATTTCAATTTAATTTCAAAAAACGTAACTCCAAGAAAATAGAAGAAACATTTAAAGATACAATAGACACTATCAAATTTCTACATTATATTAGGAAACAGAATATATTATCATGAGAAATATTTGAATTATGATTTCTTTCTTTTTTAAATACGAATTGCTATTAATTTTCAATGAAAGGACAGCTTTGAAACAAGGAACTGAAAATACTATACACACTTTTTCTAAATAAAGATTAAAAATGAGACAATAACTAAATAAATACACTTACCGAATCAAAACGACATAGACCTACGCCTCACAGATTTACGGTTTTGCAAAAAAGACATACTTATAAAAACTAAAATCATTTCAATCACAAATTTTAAGATTAATAACAGCAGCTCCTCAGTAGATAAACAGCAAAATACAACGACTTACGACAGCAAACCATTGACAAACACATACGTATTGTTTACTCCCTATTTCATATTAAACTGCACAGACACAATAACGGATTTATTGCAGACTTGAATACGATTGACGTACTTATCAGAAGGCGACTGAAAATGACCGGAGCTGGATGAGAGATCATTTTCCTGAATTCAAGAAGTAAACCAAGACCAGGAAGAGATGCTACTGAATACTATTCAGTATTCAAAAAATTAATCAAAAGAAAAAAAAATTAATGATATAAAGAAAAACCTAGATTGTTAAAATATTATTCCTAGACTTTATAAATTCCAAATTACTTCATTTATAATAAATGAAGTAGTTTTATACATATATAAATAATTAATTATTTTTTAAAAATTGTGTTAACAATGTTTTATATCACTCTTATTAGTTAAAACATTAATGTTTTCAAATGTTTTTTTTTGGAATTAATTAATTAAATTTTTATTAATAATCGCACAAGGATATTCATCTAATTTAGTTATAATCTTTGTCAGAAACATCAAAAATGTATAGAACATAGTTTCTCTTGACCCAAATTACCTTTTTTTTAGATATTCTTATTAAGTATGTATGAAAATCTTAATATATATATGTGGGTGCTATTAGATATATTCTATTGATGTACAACGTAACTTAAGCTTACTGTATTTTATATCCTGAATAAATGATTGAATTTTTCTATTCTATTTCAAGTAACACCCATCATAATATGATATGATGAGCTGAAATATTGGTCAAAGGTGATGTCTCATAGTTACTTTATTTTTTATTTCAATGATCTACAAATCAACAATAACATCTTTTGTATAATATATTTCCATTAGTATTGTATATATGCATTTATTATTAATAGGGATCAATAGTTTGAGGGACAGGCCACTTTTTATCAAACATTTTTCTGAAACATCCTAAATTGCTTCATCATATCGTAAACTGAATGAATGAAATGAATGAATGAGTGAAAAAAATCATTTTGTTCAGGGACTACAGTCCCCTAAAAATAATAACAGAGTTATGTAATTAAGAACATTAGTCTGACTTAGACGAATACAAAATGATGCTTAATTAACTGTTGATTGTTACTGCAATTGTTCAATTGATTGAATTAGACTTTGTAGAGACTCAAGTGAATTTTACATGTTTGCGGAAGTTTGAAGATGGAGTAGGTGGGGGGACAGGAGTTGGTTAAAGGAATTTATGGATGAGAATTGACGTATGGAGTTAAGAAGAGAGTTCCAAAAGGAGGCAGCACGAATGACGAAGGATTTGCTGAAGGAAGTAGTTTTATGGGAGGGGATATATAAGTCTATAGGTTGAGTCCTGGTATTGAAAGAGTGGATAGAGGAAGGTAAAGTAAGGAGTTCCAGGATGTAGGGAGGTTTTTAGTTCTGAGGAGTTGGAAAAGGAAAACACCAAGGAAGAATTGTCGCGAAGTAGGATAAAGCCACTTCAACTCGGTGTACCTGAATGAAATATGGGAGCGCATGGGAATATCAAACCTGCTAATATTTCACCTATAAAAATGCTTAGAAATGGGATGTTCAGTAATTAATCAGTAAATTAATTAATTTAATGAGCTACTAAAAAATCATGAAAACTCATTTTATTTCGACGTGAATAGTGGGATTTTTTTTACAAAATCAAGAAAAATGTTGACATATAAAAATAACATCGTTATTTTGACTTGTCGGTGATGGAAGGGACGCCAAACCCGCCAAATATTCTTGTAGGCCACCTTTTTTTCTGGATTTTGAGAAAAAATTATCTAAGGATTCCATTGGAAAGCAAATGACGTCCATTTTCTTAGTAGTTCATTAAATAGACACAGTTTACCGATCTTCCGATTAAAAACGCCCCATTTCCGAGAAATTTTGTTAATAAAAAATATCATCCGTTACGATAAGATGGAGCAAGGGCACAATAACTAGAAAAATATTATAAAATTAAAAATTTTTAGCAACAAGAGAATAACCTAAAGAATTTCAGATGGGTTCATCCTTTTATAGCTTCCATTAAACACCAGCTATATCGATACGAAATGTGACAAGTGATAGCAATATACACTAATTATTTTCCATTAGAGCCTAAAATTTAATGGTCAATATCTCAAACATTGTCTATTTTAATACATAAATTTCAAAATAAATTATCATTTAGCATAGTTTAAATATAATTATTATAAAACAAAAGAGATTCTGAGGTGGAAGACCAGAAGTCCTTCATATTAGTGTTTATTTTTTTTTTTTTAGACGTTTAAAAATGTTCTAACAATACTTGCTGTGTCGAAGAATTATAAGAAAGCGGATATTATTATCATTGGGGATCCTGAGGCCAGTAAACTCTGCTTTTTTCTCTCTCATATCTATCAGAAGGATATCTGGTTTATTGTGACGCACAGTATGGTCAGTTATAATCGATTCATCCCAGTAGAGGTTGAGACTACCTTTTTGGAGTAGTTTATTTGGGTGGTACTTATAATATGGAGTTTTGTCATCTAATAACTTGAGCTTCACCGCCAGAGCCTGATGAAAAATTCTTGCCACATTGTCATGCCTCTGGAGATACTCGGTGCCAGCTAAAACTCCACACACACCTGTGATATGTTGGATTGATAGATCGTCGCTACGTATTATTGAAATTTATCCGTAGTTGTTGCGTCTTTCAGAACATGCCTTCTATAAGATCTATTAGCAATAACTTGGTCTTGGATGGCGAATAGAAATTCTTCTGTGTCAGCTTTCAGCCATTCAATGGATATTTCCTTGTCAATCGAGCTATCATTCAATTTGCTGTAGAATCTTCCATGCAGAGATTTGTTTTTACATTCTGTCAACCGTTGATTTTCTGACACGGTTGTAGAGACCTCACGTTTGCTCAGGTCAAGTGAGGTTAAGCCATAATCCAACCTTGAGGTTGCGAGGTAAACCTCAGTTGTTTTTGTAAGAACGTTTCGGCCTAGGGCCACTTCCTGCTTGCGGCAAACTTCTTCGATGTTTAGCAAACCACGTTCTCCTTCTTTCCTAGGTAAATACAGGCGAGCTTTGAAGGATATTGGATGGTGGACCCGTTCTTGTGTGAGAGTCGTTCGCTCAAGGCGGTCGATCTCCTATGGACTGGTGTTTGACGAGTGCAATATGCCGAAACTATAACTGAGAGCAGGTATTGCCCAGCTGTTAATAGCATTTATTATCATTATTATCCCCTTATTATTATTATTATTATTTCTAATTCTCAGCTTTATGTCGGATGAATTTACTGACCGAGATCAAGTGTACAGTTTATTGAACATTTAATTTGAAATATTAAAAATTTTCCAACAATGCTCGCGGTTCCCATCATTATTATTATTATTTATTTTTTCAATTCTCGGCTTTATCCCGGAATAAATTCACTGATCCGGACCGAGGTCAAAGGTAACAGCTTCTTGAATATTTAATTTGAAATATTAAAAAAAAATTTAACAATGCTCGCGGTTCCCAGCATTACCGCTTTCTGGATTTCCTGAAGCTCCCAGCTTAATCCAAGTATCTTCATTAATTTTAGAGTATCTTCAGGAATCAGACCATTTCTGGATACGATAATAGGTAGTTGTTTTACTTCCACCAGCCGGTATAATTCCTCGCAAAGCTCTTGATACTTCCGAATTTTTTCACTTAATGTTTTAACTACATTATCACCAGCAGGAACTCCAACTTCGATAATGATGGCTTTTTTTGTTTCTTTGTAAACGAGCAGTATATCTAGTTTATTGTGGGGAATACTATGGTCAGTCAATTATAATTATACTATGGTCATTATTATGATAATAAGTTATTATTATTATTCTTTATTCTTTATCACTGTAAAAAAAGGTATTTTTCTGGAGTGGGGAAAAATTAACTTCAACCATTTCCCGTCAATTTTTTGTAGTTCTATTGGATATTCAGGAAACTCCTTACGATTCTCGCAGTTTTCGGCAGTACAGCTTTCTGGGCTTCATTTATGGTAGCTGTTATTATTATTTTTATTATTGTGTGACATATCATGGAGCTTTAGTTGTAGTTGTCGTAAGAAGTGTAGTAGTCTTAGTCTGAGGTTTAACTCTTTTTTTTTTTTTTTATGGTGTATTTTTTGTGTTTGAGGAATTTCGTCATTTCAAGGTAAATATGAGGGCATGTTTCATTTCGAAGAGTGAAAGTGATGTGTTGTGATTTGTCTTGGTTGAGTAGAACTTTCCAAAGCTTGCAACAATCTTTTAGTTTTGTTAGATGTTGTTATAAAGTCTGTGAGGAGTGTGTAGGATTTATATGTCTTGTTTGAATTTCACTTAGTCACTTAAACTAAAAAGAGTTTTGTTTTATAAATTTGGTACGGTTCAAAATATTTAAAGAAACCATAAAAGTATATTTTTATTTATTTCATGTTGGGGTAAAAGTTTATCTGGGCCAGTCCTACTAAACATTCTCACTCCTATAGACGTTTTGAGGCTCTTAAAACCAAATGGAAAACTGAATTTTGTGTAAATTATAGTTCAAGTTAAACCTATAGTTGAACAGTAG